AGTTAATACCTACAGCTATGAACTTATATAGCACATTATACTAACATAGTAATATGTTCACTACTTACTTACCAACACAATTAGGGTCCAAAGACCAGATCATTATACAGAACCAGTGTTATGCATGAAGGAGAAGGATGCACAGGTGGTCTTAGAACCCAGACCCTTGGAACTACTGTGGTCCCCGTACCACTGTACTCTGGACCCCGAGGCCCTGCCATCAGAATTAGTACCCAAGTGGATCTGGGGCTTGGTCACTAGACTTAAAGCCTAATAGGCTCTGGGACTCAGGCAACCATCAGGGCTAGGGTTAAGACAATTGTGGAGGTTTCTTCAGATGCCCAGGCCCATGTCCATGTCCCCCTACCACCCTCTCTATAGCTCCAGTCATTTGCTGCCACCTCACAGTCTGGAGAAGACCCCACAGAAACAAGTGATATACTGCTGGTCTTGGATGTGTTGACATTCAAGGCCATAACCTGGAAACTATCGGGTGCTCAGAAGAGGAGCTCAGCAGCGCAGGCCATGGAGGAAGAGGGGTCAACCAGCTTCTGCTGTAATGCTCAGGCCCAAATTATCCCCACCACCCTTTCCACTGCAGGTTTTGATCCCTCCAGGGTACTCGAGTAGCAACCTCCCGCTTCCCTACCTCCTCCTGGTCCCCTCCAGCCACTCATGAGCCCTTCTTGAAAGTGCTCCCTCAAATTCCACCTCAGTTGCCTCTTTAGTACAAAGAGCTGCAACAATAACTTCGGTAGTGGTGATGGGATTGAAGAAAGACTCTCTGGAGAACTGGCTACCTCCGCTGTGAGTCTGACAAACATGATGTCTCACGGGACTGGGAACTGGATGCAGGGTGGAAACCCAAGTTAATGTGCAAAAGAGTTGGATCTTAGATTTTTTAGTTTCGTTGTAAATGTGAAATGTCAGATAATCTGATATTATCAGATAAAGTGAGGAGGAGGCATATAGTGTATATTTTCTTGTGGCTTCTGTAACAAACTACCATGAATTTGATGGATCTCAAAAATACCTCCTAAGATAAATGAACCTGAACGAAACTAGTCAATCACTAAAGGACAAATTTAAAATGAGATCCGTATTGTAAAAAGTCAAGAAAATGTTTTCATGACAAAAGAAACATTCTTTGATGGGTATCAAGGGTGAGAGCCAAGAGGGAATAATTCACTGGCTGGAGGAGAGACACATGAAGAAGGATGAAGGCATGGGAAGAGACTGGGAAGAGTGTAAATGTTAAAGGCAACAGAGGTAAATATTGTTTTATGTACAAACCTACAGTAAAGGAGCTCTGGTAGCATAGTGATGACGAATCGGGCTGCTAACCTCAAGGTCAACAGTTTGAAACTACCAGCCATTCCACGGGAGAAAGATGAGACTTTCTGCTCCCATAAAGATTTCCAGCCTCTGAAACCCTGTGCAGGGTCACTATGAGTCAGAACTGACTCCGCGGTACTTAACAACAACACAGTAATGGTGATCTATAGGTAGATACATAAAAAGACAAGCAGGCTGAATGGGTCTGAGAAAGAGGGTGAAAGTATACTTACAAATATATGTAAGTTTGTTAAGATATGTGGACATATGTATTTACCATTGCTGAAAACATACCCATAATGCGGTGAAGCATACAGGAGGCAAACTTATGAAAACTTCATATACAATACTAAGCACCTTGAAGAAATGAGTTGTTGTGTCTGAGGACTCAGGACGTGGTCAATTGGCATAACATAGTCTAAAAGACCATGTTCTATATCTTACTTTAGTAAGTAGTGGCTGTGGATCTTAAACTCTCTTGAGAGGCTACCCAAAGTTACCTGTAAACAGTTAGTCCAGTGAACTCTGGATGGATCACCTGAACATCAGTCTCCAACACCTTGAAACCAGAAGAACTAGATGATGCCTCCCTAGCTGCCACTAACAGAGCTGCCACTCTAAAAGGGGTAGTATTAGAGGGTCCTAGATGGAGTGGAAGAAAATGTGGAACAAATCTCATTACCATCGAAAAGACCAGTCATACTGGTCAGATAGAGACTGGTGGAACCCTGAAACTATGGTGCTTGATCACCCTTCATTCCTGGAACTGAACAACTGAGCAGTAGATAGGCATATCAGGGGAACCACAAGACAAGTGCAATATACACACTTTAGAATGACTCATCAGTGGAGATCAAAAAGGCAACATTTACCCAGGACAGAATTCAGAAGGGAAGGAAAGAGAGAGGAATGGGCACAGATTTGAAGAAACACAGGGAAGAACTTGAATACATGATGTTCTATGGAAGAGATTGCAATCATTGAGATTGAATGAAGGGTATGATTTGTTTACTGCTAAACTGATGATCTCTTTTATAAACCTTCATTCAATGCACAATAAAAAGTTATGGAAAAAATACAGAAATTTATTCTCTCAAAATTCTGGGTTCAAAATCATTTTCATTGAGCTGAAATTGAGGCGTCAACAGGCCCACACTCCCTCCAGAGGCTCTGCTGGAGAATCTGCCCTCTTCCTGTTGCTCATGGCTGCTGTCACTCTGGCTTTTGGTGACAATACTCCCATCTCTGCTTCATGTTCTCATTACTTCTTTCTCTTTTGTGTGTGTCAAATCTCCCCTTGCCTTTCTCTTATAGGGATATTTTGATGGCATTTGAGATCCTGTTTATAATCCAGAGTAATCTTTCCATCACAAAATCCTTAATTTATTCAATTCTGCAAAGACTATTTTTCCCCCAAAATAGGAACAAAAGGTTACAGGTTCAAAGGATTAGGACCTAATATCTATGGAGGTACCACTCAGCTGAATACAGATGAATGGGAAGTAGCTACTCTACAAAATAGCTGATCCTCTGCTAGCAGGATTTGGATTACTTGCTGGCATCCCATTGTTGTGTGGAAGTTGCCCAGAAATAAAGTCATGTGAATTTATTCAGAAGATTTGGCCTAGCTTCCTGGGGAAAGATGCCCAGAGGTTGTAAATCTCAAGTGGTGTTTTTGAGACTGAATGTTGAGAGACTGGCTGAGCACCAAGCTACACTGCTCATGAGGAGAAAGATAACCAAACCCAAAACAAAGGCATGTTGCAAACTCAATCCAAAGAACCTTGACTAGTTTGAAAATAAGAAATTTTAGACAGGACCACAAGGTTGGCAAAGAAAACTTATACAGTTTTTGTTATTTTAAAGTTCTTTAAAGTTCTATTTCAAAAGTGTATGAAGTGTGCATGCTGTGAGAGTTTATGCATCATTTTATATATATAACATGTGTCATAATTAGTGTTTAAACTATGTTAGGAAACCATGAAAAACATATTGCATATACAAGGGGGCTTTAGAAAGTTTGTGGAAAAATTCCATCATGTTTTAATTCCATTTCCCACAAACTTTTGAAGGCCTCCTGTAGGTGAGAATAATATTTCACATATCTCTCATTATGAAGGTAAATGTTGAAAAGTATGTAAATGTGCTATGAAAGCAGGCTATGTATAGATAAGTAAATACTCATGCATATTGTGGGTATGTTAAATTACTTTTTCTATAAGTCAAGGCACATATTTCCATGATATTATTTTAAAAGGGAGAATGTTACCCTTTAAAATCTAGATAATATAGGTAATGAGACATAAAAGGTAGAAAAGCACCAAATATGGATATTGGATTCAAGGTAAGTCTTATTGATTGTGATTAATACTTATTAATTGTGATACTGGTTAATGTATCATTTCCTAAATTGTCTGAATGAATTTTTTCATTTCAAGATGTATATTTATGAGATACAAAAGGACATTAATTCTCTTATAGTTTACCTTACTGGTGCAAACACTTTTCCATAATTTAAAAGACATTTTCACCTGGAAACAATATTGAAATGAAGTCTTCAAACAGGTGACAAGTAAAACAACTTCAGTTTTAGTGTATACATATTCATAATTGTCTTTTGTTATTTCTTTAAGTGGTGCTATAAGGGTCATTGCATGTGGAAGAATGCTAATCAACAAAAACAAGATGGCAACTGGGGATCGTGGACCAAATTTGGCTCCTGCTCCAGGACGTGTGGAACAGGTGTCCGTTTCAGAACACGCCAGTGCAATCATCCAATGTGAGTATCACCTCCCTGCAATTCTAATTATTTTTGGAAATTAAAGGAAAAGTTTCAATATCATATTCTGTTTCCTGGAGTACATGTAAATTAGAGGACAAGAAGGCAAATTGTTCACAATACATAAACCAGTGACTATTTCAAATAAGGAGTCCTGGGTGGTGTTAACAGTATGTTATGTTGCTCTCTGAAAGATTGGAAGTCCAAGTCACCCAGAAGCATGTCAGAAAAAGAGTCTAGCCATCTACTTCCCAAAAACAGCCATTAAAAAACCCTGTAGAGCATGATTGTACTCTGAAATACCTGAGGTGACCTTCATTGAGCCCTGGTGGCATAGTGATTAAGAGTTGGGCTGCTAACCGGAAAGTCATCATTTCAAATCTACCAGCCACTCCATGGGAGAAAGATGATGTTCTCTACTCCCATAAAGATTTACTGCCTCGGAAATCCTACAGAGATCACTATGAGTCGTAATTGACTAGACTCCCTACTACCACCAACACCTTCAATTGGGGTCAACTCCATGACAACTGAGTTTTATTTCAGATAAACCTCCTCTTAAGAATCTTGCCAACAGTAGTCAGTGATAAAGATAAGAAACTCAAGTGACAATTTAAAATTTTGGAAGGATTAAGCTCTTCAGGAATTTTAAGAAACTGAGCAGGGAGAGTAGATCTCTTTGCTCTTAGGGCCTGTAACTTGCAGACCTTGATCTGGCGACAGAAGTAAAGGTACATCAGAGGAGGAGCAATGCCAGCCAGATGAGGGGTTAGGGTGTGATTGCTTCAGAGTGAGGCAGCAAAAAGAAAACTGAGGAACTTTTGGGGAAAAGTTATTTATTGCCTCAGACTAATATCAAATCCCTATTGAGTGCTCAGCAGTTTATTTTCTAAAGAAAAAAACCGAAACATTGATATTAGGACTTTCATCATTGTTTAGGACTCAACATACGAGAGGCCTTTCTGAGCATGTCTTCAGGCTCTGCTCTATGTGCTTCAAATGTGCTGCTGTTGTGGTTGTTAAGTGCCATTGAATCAGTTCCAACTCATAGTGACCCTGTATAGGGTTTTCAAGGAACAGCTGGTAAACTTGAATCACCGACCTTGCAGTTCAAACCGACCTTGCAGTATAGCATTAATTAGCCAACAGTGCCACACCAGGACTAGTTCATTTAATTATCACAGGTTTTCTTTACAGTTGCTGTTGGTAAGTGTCATTGAGTTAGTTCCAACTCTTAGCCACCCTGTGTAGGGTTTCTGAGAAGTGGCTGGTGAGCTTAAACCCCAGACCTTGCAGTTCAAATTGGCCTTGCAGTCCAGTGCATTAACCTGCAGTGCCACACCAGGACTTTACAGCAGCTGGCATTATTATTATTTGCATTTTACATGTGAAGAAATGAAGGCATAGAATTGTGACTAACATTTCTCTCAGTTGTAGCTGTATGTTTTATGTATGTTGGAAAATATAATTTTCCTTAGTCAAGATATAGGATATCACTATTTTTTAACGTAACTTTGGGTTGCCTTCCTTTACCCTCCCCACTAGAGATAAGGAGATTGTTTCTGGAAAGGAACCAGAATTAGGAAATCTGAGTTCATTCACTTTGTGCTGGCAGCTCAGAAGCTCTGGCTGCCTGCCCTCAAGCACTGTGTCTGGAAACTTCAATGGTTGGACTAAAGCCAAAAGGCCTTTTAAAATGCTGCCTCTTCTTTAGGCCCATCAATGGTGGTCAGGATTGTCCTGGTGTTAATTTTGAGTACCAGCTTTGTAATACAGAAGAATGCCAAAAACACTTTGAGGACTTTAGAGCACAACAGTGCCAACAGCGCAACTCCCACTTCGAATACCAGAATACCAAACATCACTGGTTGCCATATGAACACCCTGACTGTAAGTAGATGTCTGCTTTTTCCGGCTTTGTGAATAGTTACTTATATTTTTAACTTGTCAACACCAATCCCCTTAGACTCTTGATTCCTTTTGCTAATTTAGAAAACTTGGTGCTTTTAGGAATAAGTCCTCAATTTCTAAGAATAAGGCTGAAGTACTTCTTTCTCTAGAGATGTAAGAAATTTGCAATAGTTCCTGGCAAACAGCATTATTCAAATGACCATTGGAAAGCAACGGATGAAGAAGTAGAAGCAAAGAAATAACTTTCTGATTGACCTTAAGTCCCTCTCTTAGGAAGTGCTACTGGAAAATTGGGATTATTCCCTTCTGAATAATTAGAGAAGAATATAGTTCTTTTACAATTGAATCAGGACCAATAAAAAGACCGGTATTCAATAATAAAAAAAAATGCTTCATAGAACCTTTTAACTTTTGTAATGTACACTGGTTATAAAATATATATACACGTGTGTGTGTATATATATATAGTTGTTGTCAAGTGCCGTGGAGTCAATTCCAACTCATAGCGACCCTATACAGGGTTTCCGAGGCTGTAAATCTTTATGGGAGCAGAAAGCCTCATCTTTCTCCCACGGAACAGCTAGTGGTTTCGAACTGCTGATCTTGAGATT